TTTTTTTTTTTTTTTTTTTTTTTTTAATGAGAAAGTGAACAGACATAAAGTGAATAAATTGCTACAACATAGTCCTTCACATACACCTGTTGAAGTTTTTGGAAGCAGTGCGGCTGAAGAAACCCTAAGACTAGAGAAAGTATGCAGTACCATGATAGCATCCCCAGAAGCAGTGGTAAGATTTCTGTCCAGCATAWTATGTATGCCAGAATCTAAAACAGAAGTGGTCATTTCAAATTGGAAAATTAACTGCTTAAATATGCATTTATTAACTATACACACATACGCATAAATATATACAAATCCTCTAAATGCTGCTGGATSATTTTGATCATGCTTTGAAGGAGTCAGTCAATTTGCATAAAAATTGAGTTACAAAACAAGCAAGGTTTTTTTAACTGTTTCCCTAAATTAAGCCTTTGAACTGCTGACATCAGCTAGCAGGGCAGAAATTACAATCTGCATTTTTGACCTGGTATGAATTACAAATTGTATGGTAAGTTTTATAGCAAATGACTTTTTGCTGATATACAGATCAGCAAGTAATTCTTTCTTCAGCATTTTGAGCAACACTCCATAAAAACTTTACTGAAACTTTTGAAAAGTTTTAAAAGCTCTATGTTAATTTTCATTACCTTTACATACATGACCATTTCATWACCATTACATAAAACCTTTTTTATGTTAATGTAACTGCTACAAGACAGGTACTAAATTTATTTTTTGAGATGCATGTGAGGATTAAATTCTTAATTCTGATTAATTCAAGCCATTCAGAGTAGTACTTTTCTCAAAGGAGAAAAGGACAGGAAAACTTCCTGGAATTTCCAAAGCTATCTTGTCTGATAACTGCCTTCTGGGTGAATCCCCATCTGTGGGGTCTGTTGAAAGAGAGTCTTTCCCACTTTCAGTTCTTCGTGTTTTCTTGCCTGAGTAACAGACTCTTGTCTTGCAAGCTTGCTCATTAACAGATGCATGTCTATTGAACACTTTTTGTTCTAAAGTCTGTTGAGGGGGAAAAGGCATCTCCAGAAAAATATCTTCACTACTCTAGCAGTACTCTAGCAACTCTAGCTGCCGGATTCAGGGAATAGACGAGACTTTTCTTTCTGATGACTAATTTCTCTAACTAGGAGCACCTCTCCTGTTCCTTTTYAATCTGCTCCCTCACAGTGACAGATTACAAATTATATTCATTTTTCTTATTTCTCAGGAAGAATTCAGTGGTGCTATAAGAATTCAGCTTCTGAATTGAAAATACTTCAAGCTAGTCCATGACCTAAGGTTAAGCAGTTCTTATGGCACAGAAAAATCAACCTACAAGTGGAAGTTACACAAGTATATTGGGACTTCTATAAAAGAGATCAAAGAAAGCATAAGTTCTTAGCATCGACTCAAGCAATATGAAAATAAAATGCATAAGATCTGCCATATTGACAACAATCTGAACTTCTGAGGTTCGACAGAATTACTGATTGTAGAGCATCTCTCACGCCCAGCCTGACTAATTTTTCATGTCTTAGACTTGTCCTGCCCTGCCATTGCTTTCAACACTCAATGAATAATCATTAGCAGAGTGCCTCTGCTCAACAGTGGGCTTCACCATGCAGATTCTTGATGCTTTGTGTTCAAAAGCTGCTGGTGAGGCATACATGTGTATGTATGGTTTCTCCTCTTACTGAATTTGGATAGCAAYAGCATTTAGGCAAAGGCACCTTGCCATGAGACTGTGCAACTCTCAAACAAAACAAAGCCTGGGGATGTAACAGGGTCAGAAAAGCATCTTATGAATTGTGGAAGTCAAGTGGGTTTTCTTATCAGGCTGCAAAAATCTGTATGGGAATATTTTCACAATTTTGGTACAGAGAAAAAAGAATAAAAGAAGCCCCCACGAACCAAAAAACAAAAAACACCTAAAAAAAAACCCCTAAAAAACCAGAAAACCAAATCAACTAACCAAACAAAAAACCCAACCCTGCCCCTGCCCCTCAACCCAAAAAAAAACCCCCAAAAAACAACAAAAAAACCTCTGTGAAAACTCTAGCTGGCATTTTGATGTGTTTTATTATATTAAGCAGGCCAAGGCTGAGCTCATGAAGTTTAAATTTACACGAAAGGTTTATTTTTCCACCACATTCACTCAGGCAGAACAGAACTTTTTTTTAATACATTCATTTTTGCTTTTCGTAAGTAATTCCAAGTTTGATTTGACATTACATTGCTCTGATGGTATTCTGTTATCTCTTTGGTGCTCAGTGCTTGTCCTGCAAGTTAAGCTATATTTACATACAACATTTCTGTAAAGTATTTCAGTATGTCAATATGAAAAGTGACAACACAATATTGTAACCATAAACTAGTTTCCTGTTTACATTCTCACCTCCATCTTAATAGATATCACCAGAATGTATAAAACACTCATGACACTTTCTCTAAAACAGAGATGTCTACAGAGCATACCTGTCAGAGGGTAACTGTGCATCTGCAAGTTTGACTATGGTTGGAAATATATCCATGTTACTTGTTGGCTCATCAATGWAAGCACCAGCCTCTACCACTCCAGGCCAACGGAGAAGACCTGGCACACGAATACCTCCTTCCCAGTTCGTTGATTTTCCACCTGAAAAATTATTTGTATTTGTTGAGAAATCAATTTCTTCTTAGATAATGCCCCCCCGTAAGATTCAATTTCCAAATACTAAACATTCTGTCTAGCTGGAATATCCAACCTTATGTCAAGCAACAATATTTTCTCAAGTGTTTTTTACAAAAGAGTGTCAAGACCAGATCTCAACAGGACTACCTGTGTTCGAGTTCTAGAACACTCTTAAAAGTTTACTCTCATTACTGAGTCAAATGTAATTCCATTCTCATGATGAAGGGTGTGACTACCTATCCTAAAACTCAAGAATGAGGTGCAGTATTATTTTGTCTACATTCTTGTAAAAAAAAAATTAAAAATACAGGTCTAAAGAAAATGTAGATTTAAGTTCACAGAGTGTTATTTGGTCAGATGTAGAACACCTCTGTCACTTAGCAGAAGGAAATGTACACCCAAAAGTATGCTGATCAGTTGTTAATGTTGTTGGGTAGAGATCAGTGTAGATGTCAATAGACTGTGTATATTTTCTGTAGAAAAGATGACTTTATCCTGACAAGAGTCATTAAGTCTTTTAATGATTGGTGGGAATTAGGTGTTACCTAGCAGGAAAGATTAATATCCTGACTGAGCTGTGGTGCATAGAAAATCCTGTTGAGTGGGAGCTGTTAAATCCAAATAAAAATTCAAGAAAAGCATAAAGACATAAAATTACAGATATCCTCAAATTAACATACTTTCAGTGAACAGCTATGCCAGGGAGATGATTTAGTTCATGACCCAGATCCTAATTCTGTGTACAYGACAGCAGCTTTAAGACAGAACAGTATCAACAGACTGACAACACTAASAGTTGATCTATATCATAGATAGCTCTAGGTATGATATTTCTTTTATTTCTGTATGCTTGTCTGATCCTGTAGTAGTGCTAGCTAGATTGTGTGTTTAAATAAAGTCTCATTATACTGTTGTCTCCTGTGTAATCTGAAGACAAAAAYTTCAAGGTAAGTGGTAAATCTGATACCCACACATGTTGCAATTCTTAAAACCTGAATATTGGGTCATTTTCACAACTCTTAGGCTGACAGTACAATTTTCTTGAATCACACAGAAAAGGTCAGGCAAGTTGCACATTACCCAAGCACAAAGGAACACTCCACAAACTCTGATGCCCCACTGTAAGGTACAAAAAGCAAAATGGATTCCACAGCAGGGCTATYTCCTCACTTACGTCCATGAAGAAGTGACTGCTGTTTTCCTTTCAAAAGGCTAATTAGAGAATAACTTTTTTTACATTTCTGGAGACAGGGAATAGCAGGAAATCAGGGCAGGTATTACAGGTCATTGCAGAAGACTGTTTTCTATTMTCTATCCTTACGTGATGTTCATTTTTATTAGAACTGTGTTCAGTGACTAGAGGTGCTTAATGCCATTATACAATTACAATTCCCCAGACATTTATCATCTTTAAAACTCTGGCTGTTAAACTTTATTCAAGATAGCTGCATTCTTTTTTCCTTACAGAAAAAATAAATCAAGTTTTTACTATTATTGCTTGGAAYATGTAGCAAACATCTAAATGGCTCATAAAATAAAAAATATCCACACAAAAATATCACTATTTTGAAACAAAATCTCTTGATATTTAAGGATCTGGTTCATTAGTTTTGCATTTTGCTCAGACTTGACAACACAGAAACAGAGAAAAGACAGCAACCTTGCAGTATGTATGCCTTGCAAACTTCAGGCAAACTAACTTTTTGTCATTTTTGTTCCCTTAAATTCTTCTAAAAATGTTTTCAAAAATACCCTATAACACAGCAGGCTGTATTTTCCTGCTTAGCTATCTATGCTTTCTGAGTAGYTGCACCTTACAGTGTTATATTGAACAATAGCCTACATTCACCTTTCCTGAAAAATCTGCAGGAGCAGGCAAAATACAGATATAACTCTCTGCAGTCATCCACAACATGATGTCAAATTTCCATTTTAACCTCAATTCAAATCTTAGCTAAAAGAATATATATTTTTTTTCTCCCTCTGGTTTAAATTGACTGCTATTACCTAACTCTGTGACTAGAGCTTTTACAAAGGATGATATATAAAAGGGAGCTCTGCAGTAAATCATTATTATCWTTATGAATGATGAATGATGAAAACTATTTTAAATAACTTTCTTAAATCACATGGATTATAACCATATTACTCTTTCTCTCATATATTCTTCTAAAAACCAAATTATTCTTCCAAACCAAATTTATTCTCTTCAGTGATAGAGAAATACAAAGAAATTACTTATTCTACCCATGTATAGTGTACTTTATACTACAAATATCAACAATCAAGACTGGTCACTATTGCTTCCTTTATAAAATGGTCAAACAATAATTTATTTTCAATGGTAAGTTCGCTCTTTATTTTACTGATTTTTAAATTGTTTAACATACAGTCTTTGTTGATTTTCAATCTGAGCTATTCTTGTACAGCTGAATAGACTAGACATGGCTCATCTGGACATTTCTCATCTGACCTTTCTTCCAATCAAATGAATAAATCTCTGAGGATACTTTTTTTTTTCAGTCAAAATTACAAGATGGGTTGATTATTTAAAAATCCGGATCACTTCAGGGAGAATGTAAAAATACACTACATTTTAAAAAAGGGTCAACTCCTTCTTTCTTTTAAGTCAAAAGTGAAACTCCAACAAATATCACTAGAAATGCCACACCATGATTCCAGGGGTCAAAGTAATGGTCAGYTTGATTTCTCTGTGGGTTACAGGAAAGAAAAGGTTTGTGAATAGCTTCAAGAAACCCTTCTCAACAAACTTATCACTGTTGTCTATAAACTTGTATTACAGTAATAARTTTTAATAAAATACGGGGTAATTGCTTCCCCCAATTCTTGTTTTGGTCTCAAAGATCTGCAGCAGATTTGAAAAAAATCAGGGTCTAAGTGCCTGTATTGTGCTAAATGCTCCCTAAGTACAAAGAAARACAGTGTTTCTAATGCAGTTCTGAGGTAAAGGCAAAATGTACACATCCAAAAGACAGTAAGAGATGTCAGGAGACTCAACAGAAAACCCTGTATGCAACAAAATGGGATAGATGTCATCAATTGACAGCAAGGGAGAATTTCTACTGTCTGCATTATGTACCAGTGAAATAGCATAGAGAGAAAAAGTGTGGAGAAAAGTTTTTATTGCCTTCATGGTTTACTGCTACAAATTATGTATATATGGAGATATATATGTTTTACAGCACAGTGAAGCTAATTCAAGAAATTAGCAASAAACTAAATAAAAACTACCATAAAGTATTTATATTCAAAATCTCAGGATACCAAAGAAGAWGATAATGGTGCTCTTTAAATCAATCTTATGCTAGCTGTTAATATAGAGGAAATTATATTTAATTATTCTACTCATCTAAYTCAAAAGTAGAAATCTAAAATATTTGGAAAAACTAACCTTATTTCTGTTCCTAAAGGAAAGCTATGGTGAYTAGCTCAAATGGACATGCTTCAATGAGGCAGATAGCAAAAAACACCCAAGATGAAGTGTAGTGTAGGTATCCTGGAAACCATGACACAAGCAATACCTTAATGTCCCATACTTTCAACAGAGAAATACTATAGCACTGAAAAAAAARATCTGGAAAAATTATGTAGAAATTTTTAAGAAGATATTTCAGTTACACTTAAGACTTTCCATATTTAAATCTAAAATTATTAATATTGATGTATTAAATTGTTAATATTATTAATTTTATTAAAATATTAATAGTATCCTGTATGCATCCCAGGCATACTTCAKGAGTTCTGTTAAGAAGGCATTTAGTTGTTGGGAAGAAATTCTTATTAAAATAGSCACTATTTTTTTTTGTTTTAGAAGCTGTGTCTAGATTAAAACCTTTGAATGATCTTTGACAAATGACCATCAGGAAAAGTTGCTGGAACATTAATCATGGGTTAGGAGACAAAGGGYTATCATGAATCAAAATCTGACTAATAGACAGGAAACAAAAAGAGAAAACAAACAGCCTGTGGCCCTTTGCACAAAAATACCTAAAACCAATAGTAAGCTACCTTGATGCCACTCTGTRTTAAACCCCATACTATTCTAGTATATTTACTTCATTTTTGAAAGGCAAGTGAGCTGTAGAATTGAAAAATATCCACATGGCACATGTTTCACAGGCTGATCAAATTTAGAATAAAAGATAATGCTCTTTACACCAAGTTGGATGAACAGGAGATGATGAAACTTCAAATTTTGTAAAAATATTTGCAGCTAAATGAACATTAGAGAAAAAATAGCTGAACTGGTGTCTATGGTCTTAGTTATTCATAATATAACTTTCATTTCATACTTTAGAAAAAGGACTCACACAAAGACTAGTGCTTAATGCGCATCTCTAACCAATAAGATAAAAAGACAACAGGAAGCTTATGGGATGAAATGGACAATATTAAAAAGCATGTGTATGAAMAGGTAGTGATAATTAATGGCACAACCCAAAAGGAAATACCTGTAAAGTAATTTAAAAAGATAAATCACAAAAGATACAATTAGAAATAATTCATAAAAGAAAATAACAATAAATYAGGGGCAAGTAAAACCTCCTCAGTTAGAACTGGTAAGAGAGACGGAAGAGACAATTATTTTCTGAATGAGCTATTAAAGGCAAAGAGGTACCATGAAAGTATACAAAACAAAGCTAAGCTAGGGAAGATATGAAAACTTTTCCCTCCTTTATCCTGTATCAGTGAGGAAATGGTATTAAACTTCAAGATGTTCCAAGACATTTGCAACTGTCACGTTTCAAAATAGTGAATGAAAGCACTGTGTTCTCACCAGCAAGTGATAGAGGCCTTGCTCAGAATTTAGAAAGACTCAAAGGGGAAATTCATCATTGTATRATAAAAACATATAACTAATGATAAGAATCTTTGTAGAATCTAAATTATCAGGATTCACATCTTAAATCAAGGTTATAGTATCTAGGATTAGGAGGGGATCTCCTTAGGGATTTTATTTACTCAGATTCTAATTGTGATAACCAACTGTCAAAAAAGGCCACTGGAAAGAGATTTTGATCCATCATTTGAGTATTATTATATAATGTCTTCTGAAAAAGGATACTGCAGAGATAAACCAGACTGTGTATGACAGCAAGTGCTAAACACTTTGTTAGCTCTGGTTTCTAATTTCAAGGGCTATCCAAATTTATGGTGAACTGTTCTGTASTTAGAATCCAAAGTAATAAAACCTTAAACTGCAATTTCCCATTTTTGCATCCAGTCTTGCAGGACTAGCTTAACTCTCCAAACCCCTCTTAAATTTTATTATTGTGGCTTATTTGGCTGGGTATCAAGAGAAATTAGTGAGTTAGAATTGCAGAGATCAGTGAAGAGGCTTTGATTTTAGGGAAGAATCAATTATTGCTGGGCATACTGCTCCAGCTCTGACCAGAGGGTTAAGTGGCTTCATTCATATTTGCATTCATACAGCACTCAGATACAAAAAGATAAGTAGTGGAGGTTGACCAGCAGAGACAGGGGTAAAGGACATGTATCTCTCATAGTTTTTTAAACTACACACCAGAGGAAGCAAATTCCTGTTGTGGGGACACCAGAGCACAAGCAGCACAAAGATTGTCCTTTTGCTTTTTTAGGCACATTGCTCTATCCGGTGCCTGAGACTCAGAGCTTTGCAGGTCTGGTTCTCCTTAACTCTGCAGAGGTGTACAGATGCTTTTCATCACACATGACTTTTAATATGAGTAAGTTCCTACATATGAAAATAGCTAGTTATGCAATTAATTGAGCGCTKCCACTTCAGTCCTTTTGAAAATTATGTATAATGTACCTGTTAAATCAAGGACTGATTTGGAGATGGAGGGAGTGGAAGATAAAGTAGCATTCATGGTWTTTTGAAATGTTAAAAATATATTCAGCTAATTGCATGGATCTTTTAATTTCTTTTTATTTTATTAAGAATGTCTCTCATAAATTAATTATTTTGTTTCTCACACTGTGATTTTTTTTTCACCCATTGTACATTACAACATTCACCAGCACAGCACARYTGGTAACTGCAAACCCYACAAWTTTTTTTAATTTGTTTTTAAAAGAAGTCCCATTACTACAAAACTAAACCCATTAATCAGTTATTTTATTAACTCAGGTAAGATCTATTTCAAGTTGTTCTCTGCACTGTAAGTATGAATATAAAATTTTGCAAGGCTTGAGAGAAAAGACTCCAYTCAATCAAAGTTCCTCAAGAAGAGACAAATTCCCAAGTGTATTTTTTCTTTCTTATCATTTATCCTGTACCTTATGTCTGGCACTCTAGAAGGCAAATATTTTTTAGAGCTTCTAAAACACCTCAGGCTGTGCCTACAGCTACAGATATGTAACCATATGTTCCTTAATTACTTAAATCACTACACAAGGCCTATGTGCCAGCATTCAAGATATATTTCACTCTGGTGTTTGCCCAAGGGGACCCATCTGATTAGACTGACCTCATGACTTTGGAATTCCTTGTTTTTCTTGTGTAGCATTTCCTTTGCAGTTCTCTTAAAATGTAAGGGTCATTTGTCAGACAGATACCTTCTGACTAAAAACTGTGGAGTCTTCTTGCTTGAAACCTCACYGTATTGTTATTGTTTATATTCATATCTTATTTCTTTTTTGAAGTCTTGCAGATGATACAAATCTGGCAAGGGTGGAAGGTTGTGTTACCATCCAAAGGTACCCTGATAGGTTTGGAGAAATGGGCCAAAAGGTCATTAAGTTCATCAAAGGAAACACCAAGTCCTGCATCTTCACAGCAGCACACATAGCAAAGCMAAGGCTGGGGRCAACTGGCTGGAAAGCAGCTCTGCAGAGAGRGACTGGAGGGTCCCAGCTGAACATGAGCCACCAGTGTGCCCTTCTGGCAGGGAAGGAAAACATCATCATTCTGAGATGCATTAGGAAGGATGAAGAATGCTCCCAGCAAGTCTTGTTCTCTGCTCAGCACTGGTGAGACATTSCTGGAGCACTGGGTCCAAGTGCAGAACTACCCAGTAAAGGGACACTGGTCAAAATGGAGTGAGTTCAAACGAAGGGGATGAATGATTAAATAGCTCAAGCATTCAATATATGAGGAGAGGCTGAGAGAGATGTTCAGCCTGGAAAAGAAAATGCCTAGCAGCATCTTACCCATCTCTAGGGATACATGGATTTACCTGAGTCAAGGGGACTGAGCCAGATTCTTTTCAGTACGGGGCACTGACAGTAGAAGAGGCAACGGGCAAAAATTAAAGCACAGAAAACTCAATTTAAACATAAGAAAAAGTTTGGATTTTTTTTTTTATGGTGCGTATGATCAAACACCAGAGAAAGTTGCCCAAGGAGACTATAAAGTTTCCATCACTGGAGATTTTCATAACTTGACTGGATACAATCCTGAGCAACGTGCTATAGCTGACGCTGCTCTGCAGGGGCTGGCACTGCAGACCTTGGGAGATGCCTTCCAGGCTCAACCRCTATGAGATTTTGTAGTTCTGTGATACTATATAAAAAAATTTAAAAGTCAGACYTAAGGACAATTTACTTCTTTCTCTCCAAAAAGAAAATTTTCAGGTTTGGTGAATGACTCCAAAAATTGCTGATTTCTTTATCTTGTACCCTGGAATATGAGTGAAAAACAAATTACACTGCCTTTACCGAGTGAAAGAATGAAAAGAAATTAATCTCTGATAAAGACACAAGAAGACTCATTGAATTTCATAAAAAAAAAATAAAACTCAACATTTTTACTTAATTTCCATAAGATTGAAGATTTTGACTTTGGCCGCATAGTACATTACAGTTTTGGAGCAAATCCAAGGAGATGCTTTCTGCTTGCATTTTTCAAGAACAATCAAAAAAACAAAGAGACTGTTCACCTTTATATTTGCCATTGTATCCTCCATGGACTTCTCCAGCACCAGAGATTTCTTCAACATGAGCTCCTTGGTCAGACGTAAAGTACACAAGAGTTCTGTTGCTCAGATTATGTTTCTCCAGCACATCCAGAACTTGCCCTAGGAAAAAAAAAATGAAAAAAAAACCCTCAAAAAAAGGACAACTTTGAGGTCTTTGAGAGACTTTTTAATTAGCCTTGGCACATTTGTGACTTTACGSTTTTTTGAGACCACTTTTCACATAAAATTTCTTATACACAGCAGTACATACAGGACACAGTAGGACACAACCACACAGGGCTYGTAGCCATCAGGACCATGACTCGATTGCTGCAGGGTTTCTTGAAGTACAGGAGAGGATTTGTGCACATCAGAGAAAGGGGAAATCCACAGAGGGCAAGTGACCATTGGAAAAAGCTGCCCCCAATCAAGGAAACCCCTTAGCAAGAAGTTTCATGCCACTGAGGATATCTGAAAGAGCCTCAGCATGCAGAGTAGATCTCACAGTTTAGGGGTAAAGCCTTGCTGCCTAGCAACTTACAGAGACAGCATGGCAAAAAACTGTGTGAGGGTTTAGAGTAAGACAAAAAAAAAGAAAAAGAGAATGTATGTAGCACCTATGGAGTATGYGTGGTTTCATTATCAAATCTATTAATTAGTCCTTAGTAGCTCACCATATAGAAAAACATCAACTAAACTAAAAATGTGCAAGGTAATAAACACGCAGAGGTGAACACATTTAAAGGAAGTATCCACATGGATATGTTTTGTACCTGTGATGCACCATGGACTCATCTTTCATTTTCTCACAGTGCTCCTCACACCACTTTGGCACTTTGGAGGGTSTTGCAGTTATGTAAATTACACTGAAACCTATTTAGGTTGAGTTCTGTAAAGTATATTGTATGAATGAGGGTGAGGCTGCTCTTTGGAACTTGCTCCAGTGAATATTATACTGATTAGGAATCTAAAATTATTGGTCCTGGAAAATGACCAAATCTTAAGAATATGATTCTTCACATCARCCTGACAATGAATCTGTCCTTTAGGGATCTCAGAACATATAAAGATAATTCTGTCTTCACAACCATTTTATCTTTATTCTTCTACTTAAGCATCCAAGAATGGTCCAATTTGAATGTTAATTTTGATTTGCTAACCTGTCCACTAAGAATTAATTCATCATCTGATGTCCAATTATTATACCAAATGGGATGAGATACGAACTTTGAAATACAGAGCCTTCTTAAATGGTTTTCAGATCATTTTTTCTGCTGCTATGCTCTTTTCCTAGAAAAGGAGTAATTACCTTATTGCTACAATTTCTAGTTGTCTTTTAATGTTGTATCATTCTAAAACTGCCCTGTTAATAAGACTGACTGTCTTCATTTTTTAAGCGACTGGGTCATGAATAAAGGAAGATCAGCAGTTAAATTTAAGTGATACCTGTTGGTCTTATTTGTAAATTAGGAGCAAAGAAGAAATGTACGAGTAGGAGAATTTGTTTATGTAAATTTTGAAGCCTTGTGGGAGTTGAAATTTCCCAACAGAGCTGAGGAAAATCTGTTAGAAAGGCTGACATTTGAAAGTTGGTGGGTTGAGGGAAAATCATGCAGATCCATCTGACAATCCATGCACTTGCTGCATAAGGTGGACTTAGTGCCAGAAAAGAAAGAGGCAATTTCCCACTGGCTTCTCAAATTGTTTGGAGAATGTACTTGCTAAGTGATTACAATATCTCTTGGAAAGGTGTCAGTGATGATAAAAAAGTGGAGTATAAAGATAAATCAGGACATTATGTGCAGGTATTCAGCCACATGACCTCCAGAACTCCATCTCAACCTGTATCAAGCTGTGATTTTATGTTACTATGACAATAATAAGAAATAGTCTTGTGAAAAAAAAAAATATATATATATGTACAATGGCATGCACAACAGTATTTTTTTACAGACACCATTTTCWGTGATGATATTGAACTTTAAAATTCATCCTTACATAAAACAAAATGAAAATAAAATGAGAATTGCACTGAATATATCACATCGAATGATTTGTGGTGATCAAAGTCATTGGCAATCATTCAATAATGGCCATTTTGATTTCCCAACTAATTGGGGAAAAATAAGAAGCAATGAAAAGTGACTTGCAATCACAGATAATTAAACTTAAAATCAAAAATTAATATTAAAAKTAAATGTAAGACATTATGATGACTTTTTTTTTGTAACAAGGTTGTATAATTTGACTTGCCCTGAAAAAGAAAAAAATTCACACACTCAAATGTTTCCCATTTAAAAAAAAAATGCCCATACAAAAATGCACAGAAATTCTCATCCAAAACTTGTTAAACTCAATGGTAAAACCTCCATTTCCTTCTAAAGGATTTTTAAACACAAAGAGRATTGGCTACATAAGGTTTAATTAATGACTGCTAAAATGACTATTTTAGCAGCAAAATTTTTCAGTACAGATGGACTAATAGCGGTAATTCAAATAATATAATTGTCAGAGTATGGCAGTCACAGTGCACTCACAAGCAAGCCTTTCATTTTTATTTTGATCTTGAGCACTGGCACCTACTAGAATGAAAACTGTAAATAAACAGCAATATCTGTGCTAYCAGGAGATAAGCCATATTTAAGTGCATTTGAATGATGTGACTACTGTTAATACAAGAAATACATTCACTTACTAGTATTTCTAAAYGGTAACCGGTGCAGAAAAATGCAAAGAATGCATCGTGGATGTCTATGAACAGTTATCTTTCMTGTTCAATATTTTACAAATTTTGGAAGCAAATGTTATAATGAAGACAAACCACATCTTTTACTGTTTTCTTATTAAAAAAATTAACTCTTTCACTCTACTACCTTCTGTATATTTCAGAGACTTCAGAATTAAGTTTAAAACTGATGTATAAATATTCCCAGGCAACAGTG